CAGTGGCAGGCCCAGGAGTCCAAGCCTCAGACGGCACCTCCCAGGAGACCAGTGGCCCCCCAGGCACCGTCTTCTCACCCCTGTTCTCCATCCCCAGCACTCGGGGTCACCCCTCCAGTCCGGATCGAGACCTCCTCCTCACATGTGGCTGAAGGGCAGACCCTGGATCTGAACTGCCTGGTTACTGGGCAGGCCCACGCCCAGGTCACGTGGCACAAGCGTGGGGGCAGTCTCCCGGCCCGGCACCAGGTAAGAGGTGGGGTGAGGAGGGCCCGAAGGGGCTCATAAATGGGGAACGAGCACAGGCTTGGGCCGGCAGATTCAAGTGCAGGCGCTGCTCTGCCGCTTGTCTGCTGTGTGACCTCAGGCCTGTCACCTGACTGCCCAGCCCTCAGTGTCCTCTGTCAAATGGGCTCGCACGCTGCCTACCTCACACACCTGAGGCACGTTAGCGGATGTGGGTCTCCCACTTTCCCACATACTCCCTGGTACAGGTCAGCTGGCAGGCTGGACCTGGTCCCAGTGCTGGGGCAGGAGAATTAAAAGGTGGGGAGGGGGCTCTCCCTGGAGGAGCCTGCGTCCATCTCTAGCTGGCCGGTCTGGGACGGGCCTGGGGAGGCGCAGGAGCTTGGCCGTAAGCCCCGTGCCCAGCTCTGAGCAGGCCTCCTCCTGACCCCCAGGTGCATGGCTCAAGGCTACGCCTGCCCCAGTTGACCCTCGCTGACTCCGGGGAGTACGTGTGCCGCGTGGTCAGCAGCTCGGGCACCCAGGAGGCCTCCGTCCTTATCACCATCCAGCAGCGCCTTGGCCCCTCTCACCGTGAGCATCTTGGGGATCGTGACAACGGTGGGGCTGCTGGGGGCCTGACTCCACTCGGAGGCTACCACATTCTGCCATCTGTCTCACCTCCCAGCTCAGGGCGTGGTGTACCCCGTCCGCATCGAGTCCTCCTCAGCCTCCCTGGCTAATGGGCACACCCTGGACCTCAACTGCCTGGTGGCCAGCCAAGCCCCGCACACCATCACGTGGTACAAGCGTGGAGGCAGCTTACCCAGCCGGCACCAGGTACAGAGCTGGTGGCAGGGCACGCCAGCTCTGACGGAAGTCGGGTGGGGGGGCCTCAGCTCCTTGCTCTGTGCTCATTCAGTCATTGAGCAAACATCAAGCACCTTACTGGGCCCTGGGTTGGTGTCGAGGATAGAGAGATGGGTCCTGCTAACCTCAGGTGGATCTGTTCACTTGCTGAATTTCCCTGGGAAGCTTTTCCGGCTGAGCACTGGTTCCCAGGACCGCAGATCCAGATGGAGCAAGACAAGGGTTCTGCTTGGGGCCTAGTGGGCGAGGCAGACATGCTGAGTGACAGCACGGTGTAGTCAGAGCCACAGGGGGCATATGGCACCACTGGGGAGAGCCTTGAGGGTGTTCTGGCGGGGGACTGTCCACCCCAGCCAGAGGCGGCCTGAGTTGGGAACTCAGGAAGGCCCCAGGGATGCGCCCAGCCCAGGGGCCACAGTGGCAGGGGCCCAGGGGCGAGGTGCTGCCCTTCCCGCTGACACTTGCTCCCTGCAGATCGTGGGCTCCCGGCTACGGATCCCTCAGGTGACCCCCGCGGACTCAGGCGAGTACGTGTGTCACGTCAGCAATGGCGCAGGGTCCCAGGAGACCTCGCTCGTTGTCACCATTGAAGGCAGCGGTTCTTCCCATGGTGAGATCGTGGGACGGGGGTCAGGGGAGGCGGAAAGGGCCCAGTGCCGTCCCTGTTGTCCGACTCTGACCGTACGAATCGCCCTGCTCTGTCCCTAGTGCCTAGTGTCTCCCCACCAATCAGGATCGAGTCCTCGTCCCCCACAGTGGTCGAAGGACAGACCTTGGATCTGAACTGCGTGGTGGCCGGACAGCCCCAGGCGTCGATCACGTGGTACAAGCGTGGTGGCAGCCTTCCCTCCCGACACCAGGTACAGTGAAGAGCCAAGGCGGTGGAGGCGGGACTCGGGGTCCTGCGGCAGGCGGTGCAGGGACAGCCCCAAGGGTCCCTCTCTCGTACCCTAAGGCCTACAGAGGCAGCCAGGCAGGGCTGGCAAGGGAGGGAGGCAGCCAGGCAGGTCTGGCAGGGGAGGCTTGAGCCGCCGGTGACCCTGTGGCCCACTCCCTCTTCCTCTCCGCCCCCAGGCTCACGGCTCTCACCTGCGGCTGCACCACATGTCCGTGGCCGACTCAGGCGAGTACGTGTGCCGGGCCAACAACAACATCGAGGCCCAGGAGGCCTCTATCCTGGTCTCCGTCCTTCCCAGCGCCGGCAGCCCCTCCGGTGAGTCTGACAACGCCTAGGAAAGGGACAAGGAGAGGCAGACTGCTGTGTCCCTGGGAGGAGGAGCTTTGAGTAAGACCCGGGTCGTGGTCAGGGCAGGGGCCCTGCAGAAAGATGCTTCGGGGCCAGGTGGCGCAGTGGGGCCAGGTGGCGCGGCAGGGACAATGCTCTATTAACTGCCCCCATAGGCGAAGGTCCTGGGGTCACAACAGGGACTCCTGGGGCACTGCAGGCTTGCTGAGGCTGGGGGTGGATTGCAGCCTGGAGACCCCACTGGGGGTCCTATCTCTTTCTTTTCCTCTCTCTCATGGAACATGGATACGTGAGTTGAAATCAGGCCAGCACCGCTAAGGAACTTAGTTTTCTTATCCATTTCCGTTCCCTTCCGGGAAAATAGAGCTGTTGATCCTCCCAACCTCACGGAGCTGCACTGTGCTAGAGGTCAGCCCCAGCCATGAGTGGCCATCAAATTAACACAGTTTAAGGTTCTGTGGGTAGCAGGTGGCATGGAGGGTAAGGTGCTGGATCCCACACGGCCAACTGTACACTTCAAGTCCTGGACCTGATGGCTTGAGAAACACCCTGGGCATGTGCATGCGTGCCCAAACTTCTGCCAAGAGTAGAGGAGAAAGGATTGAACATGGCCGTTCCCCCCAGGGGATGATTCTCACTTTCCCTCTCTCTCTCTTGTGATCACATGCACCTTATAGCAAATTTTAAAGAGAGAGGAAAAAAAGTCCCGTTTCCAGCATTTGCAGTGCTCCACAGCCGCATGTGGCCGGAGCCGCTGGCGTGGACAGGGCGGCAGAGGTCATCGCCGCCAGCACAGGAAGTGTATGGGCTTGCGAGGAGTGAACGAGCTCGTGTGTGGAGGGTGCTCAGACCTGCGCTGGCCCCTGCAAGTACCTAGTAATATCACCCTGCCGGTGGGGTTCTCCACGCTGGAGACGCCAGCGACCCACCAGTCCGGTTCCCAGATCTGCCGACGGCCAGGCCTTGATTCGCTGTTCTGTGCCCCCAGTTCCTGGTGGTGCCGCGCCCATCAGAATTGAATCGTCATCTTCACGTGTGGCCGAAGGGCAGACCCTGGATCTGAACTGTGTGGTCCCAGGACAGGCCCACGCCCAAGTCACGTGGCACAAGCGCGGGGGCAGCCTCCCCAGTCACCACCAGGTACGTGGCAGGCAGAAAATGACGCACAGGCTGCCGGAGGTGGGGTCCCAGCCAGCCCCATCAGAAAGGTGGCCTGGGAGCTCAGTGCAGGCAGTGCCCGCCTGGCCAGAGGTTAGACTCCAGCCCGGGCCTGCCAGGATGCCAGGCTGCTGTCTTACCGTGCTCCTGTGTCTCCCCACCATCCAGGCCCACGGTTCACGGCTGCGGCTGTACCAGGTGTCTCCCGCCGACTCGGGCGAGTACATGTGCCGTGTGGTGGGCAGCTCTGGTCCCCTGGAGGCCTCAGTCCTGGTCACCATCGAGGCCTCTGGCTCTGGCACTGTCCATGTCCCTGGTAAGGGTTGCTACAATGGGGTGGGAGGCAGAGGGAGGGGTGAGGGGTACAGCAGGCAGAGCTGGGGAAGGAAGTGCCCTGCTGCCTGCAGCCTGCTGCTCCTGCCCACCCCTCAGTGCAAGGGCCAGGCCAGGTAGACCGGCTCCCGTCTGTCTCTAGGGCCTCAGAGCACAGGCTCTGGAGTCTGGCATCAGGCTGAAGCCCAGCTCCTCCCCTGTGTGCATGTCACTGTCCCCGTCTGCAAGGGCTTTTGTACTCTGCTATCTGATGATAGAGATGATCCGCTGAGGTCCCTAAAGCCTGGAACTGCACCTCTGAGGGTACTTGAGGGTGGCTTTAGGTGGCGGCCTGATAAACATGATCGTTATCAGCTGTGATGTGCTGGGCGGTGACATGACACAGCAAGCCTGTCCTGATTTCCTAGCAACGATTCCTGTAACGGGGCTAAGTATTTAAGGTTACTGTAAGTGAATCGTTTGCAACGAAAATGTGCAGTGAAGAGCAGAGGGGCACGGGCCGCAGCGGAAGTCCTGGCAGTGCAGAGGAAACGAGACAGCACTCTCCCGCTGGCCCTGCTCTCTGCACACGTGTAAACTCGCAGCACGTTAGCACGCTCCTGTCACCACAGCCCATTTTACGTTTGGGGAAACTGAGACACAGAGGCAAAATAGCTTTGTGAAGGTCACAGAACTGATAAACGGTAGAGGTAGGATTTGAACCGAAGCCATCTGGCCCCAGAGTCTGGGTTCTTAGCCACACACTACTAGGTTTCGGAACATGCTAGTGATCTGTGTGGAGGTGCCTGGCGCTGGTGTGCTGGGAGCCTGGGAGGTGGAGAGGGTGAGGCTGTTGCCTGGGGGTGGGACCAAAGAGCCAGGCCTCCACCCTGAGGCCAACCCAGCCACCCCAGGAGGCCTCTGTCTGCACCTCCGGGCACCCGAGGAGGGGCTGGGCACAGGGGTGGGGTCCTGCTCACCATCCCCTCTCTGTGCCAGCCCCAGGCGGAGCCCCACCCATCCGCATTGAGACCTCCTCCTCCCACGTGGCCGAAGGGCAGACCCTGGATCTGACCTGCGTGGTGCCCGGGCAGGCCCACGCCCAGGTCACGTGGCACAAGCGCGGGGGCAGCCTCCCTGCCCGGCACCAGGTAAGGGGCCAGAGAAAGCAGGCTGTGTCCCCAGTCTTACCAAAGCCAGCCAAGAAGGGAGAGCAGCCCCAGCCACCCAGCCTCAGGGAGAACCCCAGCCAGAATTCACCACATTCGGGGGCTCAGGGATGCGCACACAGGGCTTCCCCCAGCCCTATAGCACCTCGGTGCAGAGGGGAAGGGACCCCACTTCCTCCTCCCGGAAGCAGTGTTACAGGCCTTTGGCAGGCCTCCTGAGCTGCGGGGATCAGGTACTGGCACCCAGGTTTTGGGCATCTGGAGGCCTTGGCCACCTCTCAGCTCCGCCTGCCCATTCTCGCCCCCACCTTGGCCAGACCCACGGTCCCCTGCTGAGGCTGAACCAGGTGTCTCCAGCTGACTCCGGCGAGTACTTGTGCCGAGTGACCAGCAGCTCAGGCACCCTGGAGGCTTCCATCCTGGTCACAATTGAAGCCTCCGACCCAAGCCCCATTCCTGGTGAGTGGTGAGGCGCAGTGGGTGATGCAGTGGCCCTGTCCTGGGAGGCTGCATCCTGGGGGCCCCCGTCCTGGCCTGCCCCTCCCTGCACTCCCAGGTCTACTACTGCCCTAGGAGGTGGGGATGAAGCCGGCCCAGCTATCTCAGGTCCAAAGCCCTGACCAATTGCCTCTGCGTCCCTGGCCCCTGACAGATCCCTGGTGCAATCCCTCCTGCAGCCAGTGGGAGCCCTGCTCTGGGTCTTAGCACAGCATCTCAGCCCCCTCCCCGAAGGGAGGCCTCAGGGCAGGGCTCTCAGCCATGGCAGCAGCCCTCAAGCCACTGCACCTCCCGGAGGACCAGGTGGCTTCAGTACCCCCCCGCCACGCGCGCCCCCCCAAAAGCCACTGCACCTCCCGGAGGACCAGGTGGCTTCAGTACCACCATCTGGGTCCCCATCTTCCCTCTGGGAGCCTCACCTCACCCCTCCACTCTCACCCCCTGTGCCTGCAGCCCCGGGCCTGGCCCAGCCCATCCACATCGAGGCCTCCTCCTCCCACGTGGCTGAAGGGCAGACCCTGGATCTGAACTGCGTGGTGCCTGGGCAGGCCCACGCCCAGGTCACGTGGCACAAGCGTGGGGGCAGCCTCCCTGCCCGGCACCAGGTAAGGGGCCAGGGCAGGGAGGATTCTCAGGCAGGAAGGATCAGCCTGTATGTAGTTGCCTCTGCACCCCATCTCATGCAAACTCCAGCCTTCTTGGGGACCAGACGGATAAAGTTCTTTTGGGGAATATTCACCAGCTTGTGACTCAAGGGACCTGGCTTGTCCTTTGGGCTCTGCCACCAACTCATTTCCTACACCTCATCTTCCTCCTCAGAAGGTGTGGGTCAGGCTTCTAGGCTTCTGTGAAGGAGCCTCCTTCTTTCCCCCAGTTGGAGTGTTGAGCTCCGGAGACCTGGGGGAGAATTGGGGCCTGGCCCTGGGCCGAGTGCTTTGGCCTGATGGCCACCCCACCTTGCTTCTCCAGGCCCATGGCTCCCAGCTGCGGCTCCACCACGTCTCCCCCGCCGACTCCGGCGAGTACGTGTGCCGTGTTGCTGGAGGCTCCGGTCCTGAGCAGGAGGCCTCCTTCACGGTCACCGTCCCACCCAGTGCCGGGTCCTCCTACCGTGAGTATGGGACTGCAGGGGAGGAGGGGAGGACTCTGGATCCAGCAGGGGCTCCCCCGCAGTAGAGCCCTCCCTGCTGAGCCTGGCCCTGCCCCTCCCCAGGCCTCAGGAACCCTGTCATCTCCATCGACCCGCCCAGCAGTACGGTACAGCAGGGCCAGGACGCCAGCTTCAAGTGCCTCATCCATGAGGGGGCGGCTCCCATCAGACTCGAGTGGAAGACCCGGAACCAAGAGCTGGAGGGTGAGCCCAGGGAGCGTGGGCTGGAGCAGGCGCAGGGCACAGCCATCACACTGCGGGGGAGGGCAGGGGGCCGGAGAGCACACCGGTCACTATGTGCGCCTGCAGTAGCCCTTACCTGCTGGGCCTCAGCATCTCTGCACCGTGCGGAGGCCAGACCCTTAAGGACTCCCCTATCTTCTGCTGTCTGAAACTGAGCTGGGCACCAGCTGGAAGGGCTGAGAGCGTGGGGCAGAGGGGACCAGATGGCAGCGCCAAGGCATGGAAGGACCAAACTGACCTCGCTGGCCCTCCCTCCCCTAATGCAACCCACAGACAACGTCCGCATCAGCCCCAATGGCTCCATCATCACCATCGTGGGCGCCCGGCCCAGCAACCACGGTGCCTACCGCTGCATGGCCTCCAACGCCTACGGTGTGGCCCAGAGCGTAGTGAACCTCAGTGTGCACGGTGAGGGGCCCGGCCCGGGGCTCTGCCTTCCGGTTTCCAGCCCCCTCTAAATTCTGCCTCCATCCGTGGCTCGTCTCGGGCACTTGTCCTTTCCTGGGCCTTTGTGTCCAGTGCGGCGGGAGACAAGGGCCCACCCCGCAGTCCCTGAGCTGGAGGCTGGGCAGTGCCTGTGTCCAACGGGGCCCTCACGTGTCAGCGGTTGTCATTCCTCTGGGCAGGCCCACCTACAGTGTCTGTGCTCCCTGAGAGCCCTGTGCGGGTGAAAGTGGGAAAGGCTGTCACCCTGGAGTGTGTCAGTGCCGGGGAACCCCGCTCCTCTGCTCGCTGGACCCGCATTGGCACCCCTGTCAAGCTGGAGCAGCGGACGTTCGGGCTAGTGGACAGCCACACCGTGCTGCAGGTGAGGCCAGGTGCAGCTCCTCCAGTGGGGGCCCTGCTCCGTTTCAGCTCCGAGTCAGGCCCAGGCTAGTCCAACCTTGAGCGGGTGCTCAGGGAAGGAAGTGGTGGTCGGCGGGTGTACGATGAGTGGACGGAGGGCCGCAGGAAGGGATGGGATGGGTGAATGGTGGGTAGACTGGAAAATAGAAGAGAAGGAAGAGAGAGTGCGTGGGTAGATAGATGGATAGGCTGGACAGATGGGCTGATGCGATGACACAAAGGAGGGCCCGACACGGTGCAGTGCTAACTCATGGGGGCCCCGGGTTCATAGCGTGGGACCTCCCGGTACACACTGAGCACGCACAGCCCAGGACTTGCACCGGCTGAAGCACGAAGACCCTGCTGGGTGTGTCTGTCTCCCTCCCTCTCAAGGAGGAAATAAACTTTCAAAGTGAACAAATGGATCCAGTCAGCATGGTGTTTAAGGCAACTGGATCCCACGTGGCCACCTTACATTTGAGTCCCAGACCCAGAGGCTTGAAAAACATAATGGGGCGTGTGTATTTGTGCCTGAAACCTGGTACGGAGGGAGAAATGGAGAAGGGATGGCAGGACCACCCCCGTGAGGAGTGCTCTTTTTTTTTTTTTTTTTTTTTTAGAGATTTTTTTCGTGATAGGGCGCGCGCACTCGCCAGACAGACAGAGAGACATAGAGACAGAAAGCGAGAAATCACCCCCCAGGGGGGATGGTCACGCCGCAATCCCTTCTCCTCCATTCTCCTCTCGGGATCCTGGGCACGCACGCACACGCGCCGGCATGAGTTTTAAGCCACCGGGTCCGGGACGCGAACCGCGGTCGACTACGTGGGAGTCCAGCGACATAGCCATTACACTAACTGCTGGTTCCCAGGAGTGCTTTCACTTCCCTCCTCGTTTCTTTCTCTTTCTCCTGTGAGTGCACATGCCCTCTGGCTAACTTTTTTTTAATAAGTAAATCTTTTTTTTAGAAGGTTTTTGCCAAAGGTACTTGCATTTCCCAGTGAGACAGAGCGAGTAAGAGGGAAAGCCAGAAATCACCCCTGGGGGAATGGCCACACCACAACCCCCCCCCAGCCTCTGTGGAGGTTTTGGACATGCACTCACGTGCACCCAGCATGATTTTCAAGATGCTGGGTCCAGGACTCTAACCATAGTCAGCCATGTAGGAGTCTAGCACCTCGACCACCGTACCAACTGCTGGCCTTGTGGCTCTGGCAGTTTAAAAAACACACCAGGGTGGGGCTGGCAGTTGGAGGTTAAGGGCGCTGGACTCCCACATGGCCGACCAAGGTTCAAGTCCCAAACGTGGTGGCTTGCTTTCTCACTTTCTCTCTCTCTGTCCCTCTCTGGTCGAATTAAAAAACTAATTTAATTAAATAAATAAAATAATTAAAAAAAAAAAAACACCAGGAGACCAGCAATTGGCGTAACGGCTATGTCACTGGACTCCCATGTAGTTGACCGCAGTTTGAGTCCTGGACCCAGTGACTTAAACTCATGCCAGGCACGTGTGCATGCGTGCCCAAGATCCCAAGAGGAGAATGGAGAAGGGATTGCGGTGTGGCCATCTCCCCTGGGGGGTGATTTCTCACTTTCTATCTTTCTGTCTCTCTGTCTCTGTCTTTCTGGCGAGTGCACGCACCCTGTAGCAAAAACCTCTCTGAATAAATAAATAAACAAATAAATAAATAAGTAAAAAACACACCGTGAGTGTATGCATGTGTGCGCACGTATGCACATGCGTGCCCACTGGAGGACATGGGACTGCAGTGTGACCACGTCTGGTAGAGGTGGTGCTTTCTCCCTCTTCCTGTTTCTCTTTCCACGTACACGCCCTCTGACAATTCTTCAAAAACCATAAATAAACAAAAGGAAGAACGGAAAGAAGCCAGACCGAGCCGGGGCCGAGGCTGCAGCCCCCGCTCAGCACCCAGAGCCTCCTTCCTTGCTTCCCTGCAGATCTCATCAGCTGAACCGTCAGATGCCGGCACCTACGTGTGCCTGGCTCAGAATGCGCTGGGCACAGCACAGAAGCGGGTGGAGGTGATCGTGGACACAGACGCCGTGGTCCCAGGGGCCCCCCAGGTCCAGGTGGAAGAAGCCGAGCTCACCGTGGAGGCTGGCCGGACGGCTACTCTACGCTGCTCAGCCACAGGTGTGGTGCAGGGCTGGCATGGGGGCAGGTGGAGCAGTGGTGCCCTGGGGCTCAAGGTGTAGACACGCGGGATCTGAAGATGACATCATGCCTAGGGGTGGGCACGTCGCCACTGGCATCTCCAGCGATGGCTGAGGTGCCCACTGAGAGACCCCCACAGAGGGGCAGGCTCATCCAGGGCCCTCCCGGCCACCCCAGCCCACAGCTTGTACCGGAGCAGCCCAGCAACCCCTGGTACCTTGTCTCCACCACAGGCAGCCCTGCACCCACCATCCACTGGTCCAAGCTACGCTCCCCGCTGCCCTGGCAGCACCAGCTGGAGGGGGACACACTGATCATCCCCCGAATAGCCCAGCAGGACTCGGGCCAGTACATCTGCAATGCCACGAGCCCTGCCGGGCACGCTGAGGCCACCGTCGTCCTGCACGTGGAGAGTACGGCTCCCTTCCCTGAGCCCCCCACTGAACTCCTACCTGGGCAGAACCTCAGACTCCCCACCCCAAGGCCCCACAGGGACCCAGAGCCTGCCCTTGCCCTGTGTCCACGTGACCTCCATGGACCTTTGGTCTCTGCAGCCCCTGACCTCTGGGCTCGGGAGTCAGCTTCCTGGTCCTTCATCAGGCCCCCGGGATCCAGCTCCCTGCTGCCGTCCTGGTCGTCGCCCTTCCCTCCCTGACCTCTGTTCCCTGCCTCCAGGCCCGCCGTATGCCACCGTGGTCCCAGAGCACGTGCCCGTGCGGGCCGGGGAGACGGTGCAGCTCCAGTGTCTGGCTCACGGGACACCCCCACTCAGCTTCCAGTGGAGCCGTGTGGGTGGCAGCCTCCCCGCAAGGGCAGCTGCCAGGAACCAGCTGCTGCACCTCGAGCCCGTGACCCCTGAGGACTCCGGTCACTACCGCTGCCAGGTCACCAACAGGGTGGGCTCGGCTGAGGCCTTTGCCCAGGTGCTCGTCCAAGGTGAGCAGCCCCAGCTCGGTGGGCAGAGAAGGTCAGCTGTCCTTCGGCCTCCTGAGCGAAGGCCTCTCTCCTTTAGCCCACCTGGAATGCCCTCCTCTCCCCTCCTGCTAGGCCGAGGTGGGCCTTCTCCAGGAGGGCCCTTGGTTGGGGACGAGCTCCTCCCTCCCTTGGCCCTGACCCTGAAATGCCAGAGGAAGCTATGTGTGCAGTACATACCCCACCTGCCACCTGCCAGACGGCAAGGACGCATGGGGCAGGGCTGACCCCGGGCCCAGGACGGGCTGGGTACATGATTGACAGGGACAACGAATGAGGGACAGGCAGCATGCACCCCAGCTTGCCCGGGGCTTCTGCGGGCCTCCAGAGAATCAGCGTCCCCATGGCCTCCTACATCAGTGATATAAGCCAAAGAGAAACCTAGAAGCAGCAAGCATGAAGCCAGACTCCGGACTCAGGCAGCCAGGGCCCACCACGTTTGAACTTGCTAGCTGTGCTGCCTTAGCCAAGTCATTTACCCTCTCTGAGCCTCGGTTTTTCTTTCTGTAAGCAGAGAGACCAATGCCAACCACACTGGCAGAGTTAGGAAGATGCCCGCATGGAAAGTCTGGCTCCCAGTAGGCACCTTATTTTATTTTTTTCTTGCCAGAGGGCATGTGCAATTGCCAGAGAGAGGGAGGGGGCCAACAGATAGGGTAGCGGTTACGTCATTGGACTGCCACACGGCTGACCTTGGTTTGAGCCCCAGACCCCGTCGACTTGAAGATCACAGTGGGCGCATGTGCGTGTGCCCAAGGTTTCAGGAAGATGGAGGAGAAGGGACTGTAGAGTGGCTATCCCCTCCCAGAGAGTAATTTCTTATTTTCTCTCTCACTGTCTCTGTCTCTCTCTCCATTGAGCACATGTGCCCTAAGGCAAAAATTTCTTTAAAAGAAAACAAAAAAGAGCGAGAGAAAGAGAAAGCACCCCTTCATGGGGCATGGTCACACCACACTCCCTTCTTCATTTCTCTATCCTGTTGGGATCTTGAGCACATGCTCACATATTCCCTTGTGTTTTTTAAGCCTCCAGGACTGGGAATCAAACTACAGTTGGCCACGTGGAATCCAGCTCTTAAGTTACAAGGCCAGCCTAGTAGGCACTTTAAAAATAGTAATGGGGCCAACAGGTGGCATGTGGTTAAAGCGCTGAATTCCCACATTGCTGAATGCGGTTTGAGTCCTGGACCCAGAGACCTGAAAAATCACACCAGGTGCAGGTGCGTGCATGCCCAAAGCCCCAGGAGGAGAGTGGAGCAGAAGGGATTGCCGCATGGCCGCCACCCGCCCCCAGAATGAGTTCTTAGTTTCCCTCTCTCTGTCTCTCCAGTGAGTGCGCGTGCCCTATGGCAAAAACTTGAAAACAAAACCAGTGATAATAAACATCACACCCACCCTCCTTCCTCGTCATCCCACGGAGGTGCCTTCACACAGCCAGGTCCTGGGAGTCTCGTTTTAGACTGCAGCCAGAATAGTCCGAAAATCATCTGAGTCCCAGGTGGCCCTGTGGCCTATTTAAGGGAGCTGGGTCCCACACGACCAGCTAGAGTTCAAATCCCAAAACATCCCAGCTGAGGCCAGCAGGTGGCATGGTGGGTAAGACACGATTCCCACGTGGCTGACCATAGTTGGAGTCCTAGACTTGGCGACTTGAAAATCAGGCCGGGTGTGTGTACGTGCATGCCCAAAGTCCCAGAAGGATAGTGAGGTCCCCCTTCCCAGGGGCAAAGAGATCCCAAGGGGAAAGACTGTGGATTGTGAAAGGACAGACGGTGGGGGTCAGGCAAGCTCCTTGTCTCTGCTCGAGAATGCCCAGGCCCCGAGCTGTTCTGTGCTCCTTTATAGAAGAATGCTTTAGCCGTGGAGCACCTCGTGGTTCTAAACCAGCCTCTCCTGGCCTTCCATGGCTCACGCTCAGGTTTCTTCTATCTGTAAAGCCCAGTGGTAGACTATGTCTTTATTTAGAGCTTTCCCATGCCCTGCAGTGATAGCACAAAGACTTTTTCTTTCTTTGGAGAGGTTTTTGCTACAGGGCGCATGCGCTCGCCAGAAAGACAGAGAGAGACAGAAAGCGAGAAATCACCCCCCAGGGGGGATGGCCACGCCGCAATCCCTTCTCCTCCATTCTCCTCTCGAGATCCTGGGCACACACACACATGCGCCCGGCATGAGTTTAAGCTGCTGGGTCTGGGACTTGAACCACAATCGACTCCATGGGAGTCCAACGACATAGCCATTACGCTAACTGCTGGTCCCAAGACTGTATCCACTTTAAGGGGCTCACCGCATGGAGAAGAAGAAATCGCAGTATGACCAGCCCCCATGGAGGTCGATTTCTTCCTCTTTCCAGTGAGCATACACGTCCTGTGGCCAAAAGAAAAGACAAGACAAGAAAGAACCCATAAAAAGAAAAGAAAAAACACTAGCACACATGATATGTGCCCTAAATCTCAACTGGGTGGAAAATGGAGAAGGAATTGGGGCGTGACCACATCTTCTTAGGAGGGCGCTTCCTCTCTCTCTTCCTCTCTCTCTGTGTCTCTGGCACATGCACATTCCCCCTGGCAAAAAAAAGTCTTGAGTCTCTTGCACTCTCTGGGCTACAGAGGCAGCGCCCAGCACCCACAGGCCCCGAGCATGAGGCCTGACACGACAGCACAGGTGAGCACATGGACAGATCTGCCATGAAAAAGTCTTTCTCCCTGCAGAGGCTGCCAGGAAAAGAACGTCCCCTGAATATTGGGTTTCCGGGGTCCCTGGTGAGGGGAGAGCGCCAGGGACATGACACAGGCACGCAGATAAGTGGAACCTCGTACGTGTCTCTGCAGGCCCCTCTGGCTCTCTCCCGGTCACCATCCCGCCAGGATCCACGCCCACCGTGCAGGTCACACCGCAGCTGGAGACCAAGAGCATCGGGGCCAGCGTGGAGTTCCACTGTGCCGTGCCCAGTGACCAGGGCACCCAGCTCCGCTGGTTCAAGGACGGGGGCCAGCTGCCTCCTGGCCACAGCGTGCAGGATGGGGTGCTCCGGTGAGTCAGCGTGGAGGACGACTTGGGGCTCGTGCTGGGGCTGAATTGGCAGCCCTGTCCTGTGGGGCCCTGCGGGAAGCCGTGTCTGGCAAATGCGGTACTCTCGGGCCTCCGTTTCCTCAGCTGTTCAGTGGGCCGTGTAGGACCAACGTGAGGGTAAGGCTCTGAGCAGTGTTTGGTGCGTGAAGGCCTTCCGGAAGCAGCGGCCCGTGTTCTTATTACAGGGGCAGAGAGAACATGTTCTGGGGCCAGATACATACAGGCGGCCCCAGATCCCCGCTCTGCAGCTGCTGCTGTCATTCTGAGCTCCAGGCCAGAAGGGCTTTGTCTAAAATGGCTGTGGCCAGCCAGTGGCATGGTATTACGGTGGCTGAATCCAACATGGTCAACTGCACGGTTCAAGTCCTGAACCCGGCAGCTTGAGAAACATGCCAGTCACGTGTGCATGTGGGCGCAAAATTCCAAAAGGAAGGAGAAAAGGAGGAGAAAGGATTTCAATGTGCCTGTTCCCTAGGGGGCCTTTCTGACATTCCCTCTCTCTCTCCCTTTCTTTGTCTCTCCCCAGCAAGTGCACATGCCCTCTGGAAGATTTTTTTATTTTATTTTAATGGGCGTTGTGCCCCCGCCCTGTCCCCCTACCTGCCGACCTCACGTGGTTACTGGGCGGCTCTACGTGAGCCCTGCTGATCCACGTTAGCTTCTACCCCACGAGGGCAGGGCGCTCCCGTGAGGTGTTTCCACTCCCTGGTATCTGACTGCTTTTGTCATTACAGAATCCAGAACTTGGACCAGAGCTGCCAAGGGACATACATTTGCCAGGCCCATGGGCCTTGGGGACAGGCCCAGGCCAGTGCCCAGCTGGTTGTCCAAGGTAGGAGGATGGCTCGGGCCTCTCTGACACGAGAACAGGACTGGAGCAGGGCTCGGACCATGTTCCCCTGGAAGCTCCCTAAATGTGTAAGAAGGATGAGATTCTGGGGCCAGTAGGTGGCATGGTGGTTAAGGTGCTGGACTCCCACACGGCCGACCGTGGTTCGAGTTCTGGACCTGGCACTTGCTTTCTCACCTTCTCTTTCTCTTTGGTGAGTGCATCTGCCCTATAGCGAATTTCTAAATTAAATAATGATTCTTGGCCTTTCAGCCACTCTTCCTCTGTTTACTCAGGCCCTCTTCTACCTCTCGGGAGTGTACTGTTTTTTTTTTTAAGAATTATTTTATTGGGAACCAGCAGTTAGCGTAATGGCTATGTTGCTGGACTCCCACGTAGTCGACCGCGGTTCGTGTCCCGGACCCGGTGGCTTAAAACTCACGCCGGGTGCGTGTGCGTGCGTGCCCAAGATCCCAAGAGGAGAATGGAGGAGAAGGGATTGCGGCGTGACCATCCCCCCTGGGGATTCTTAAAAAAAAAAACAGTACACTCCCGAGAGGTAGAAGAGGGACTCAGGAAACAGAGGAAGAGTGGCTGAAAGGCCAAGAATCATTATTTAATTTAGAAATTCGCTATAGGGCAGATGCACTCACCAAAGAGAAAGAGAAGGTGAGAAAGCAAGTGCCAGGTCCAGAACTCGAACCACGGTCGGCCGTGTGGGAGTCCAGCACCTTAACTACCACACCACCTACCAGTCCCATCGGGAGTATACTTTTACCAAATAAATGACCATTTCCTTACACTAAGGAAAAAAATCAAATAAATGATTCTTTTTAAATAAAAAGAATGAAAAAATTCGAATTTATATTACGAGTGGCACACAAGGGGGCTTGAGAAATACAGGAAGGGAGGGAGGGAGGGGGGGGGTGAGGGGGGAAGGGGGCGCCGCG